AAGTGATTTTAAGACTTGGATGCAGTGCATACCTTCACTTTTAATGAGAAAATTAAGAGCAGAGATAAGAAAATGATAGTTTTATTATCTATTCTAGATTAGAATACAGAACTGGTAGCGAAATTTTGGGCGGCATGCTATAGCAGCAATAGACAGCTAAACCCTTAGACCTTGGTCTTACCTTGCTATATTTGCTGTTTTAGATATTTTACTTTTTGTATGTCTGGTATGGCTCTTTGTAGTGCATGCCAGTCTTTGAAGTTTTGTATTCAATTTTGTATGGCTTGATGCTGTAACAATAAAGTATGTATATGTATTCTAGATTAAGAAAATAAATGTTTTGAAAACATCAAAGTATTTAATGTTATCTTATGCCTCTAAGTTCTTTGTAGATCATTTTTAAAAAGATACAAAATGTGTGTGTGTGTGTGTTGTGCCATTAAACTTGAACCAACTTATAGCAATGCAAACAGGGTTTTCAAGGTAAGTCAGACATTTAAGGAATGGTTTTATCTGTTCCATGCCCCCAGTGAGTTTCCATGACCAAATGGGGATTTAAACCCTGTTTTCCAGAGGGTTTGTTACCCATTGTTCCAACCCACAAGTCATACAGGGAGAAAAACTACATTTTGGTCTGACTTCACTGAAAATATTTGAAACAATGCAGTAATTCAGTGTCCTATCCTGCACATGTTTTACTTAGCACTGGAAGGGGAAAATAAAGGAAAAAATTACAATTTAAAAAATGCTAAAATAATTAGAATTAGTGATTCAGATATAGAAACGCAGTACCATATATATAGATATTTTCAGAGGTATGTTCTGCATTCTTTAGTACTAACTTAGAAGTACCATAAAATTATATAAAAATATTTAGCAATCTCACAGGCTAAACTATAGTGACCTTTCTCGACCTAAGAAAAAAAGAAACAAAATATCCCCCTCCAGTGGTCGAAGGCAGAATAGCAGCTTCCCATTAGTTTATATGGACGGAAAAGAGCAGATACGGATCACATGGTTTTCAATGCATTCCTATGGGAAATGCAGATTTGACCTGAGAACTTTTTGACTTGAGAACCGCCTTCCAATACGGATTAAGTTCTCAAGTCAAGACCCCACTGTACCACAAGTCATACAGGGAGAAAAACTTTACATTTTGGTCTGACTTCACTGAAAATATTTGGAACAATGCAGTAATTCAGTGTCCTATCCTGCACATGTTTTACTTAGCACTGGAAGGGGAAAATAAAGGGAAAAAATTACAATTTAAAAAATGATAAAATAATTAGAATTAGTGATTCAGATATAGAAACGCAGTACCAGATATATAGATATTTTCAGAGGTATGTTCTGCATTCTTTAGTACTAACTTAGAAGTACCATAAAATTATATAAAAATATTTAGCAATCTCACAGGCTAAACTATAGTGTATAAGTGAGGCCCAAAGGTTTATAATGACATTTGTTGTTGTTTAGTTGTTAAGTCCTGTCCGACTCTTCATGACTCCATGGACCAGAGCACACCAGGCCCTCCTGTCTTCCACTGCCTCCCAGAGTTTGGTAAAATTCATGTTGGTAGCTTCAATGACACTGTCCAACCATCTCATCCTTCTCTTGTCCCCTTCTCCTCTTGCCTTCACACTTTCTCATCAGGGTCTTTTCCAGAGAGTCTTCTCTTCTCATGAGAAGGCCAAAGTATTGGAGCCTCCGCCTCAAGATCTGTCCTTCCAGTGAGCACTCAGAGTTGATTTCCTTCAAAATGGATAGGTTTGTTCTCTTTGCAGTCCAGAGGACTCTCAAGAGTCTCCTCCAGCACCACAATTCAAAAGCATCAATTCTTTGGTGGTCAGCCTTCTTTATAGTCCAGCTCTCATTTCCATACATCGCTACTGGAAAAACCATAGCTTTGACTATGCAGACCTTTGTCAGCAAGGTGAGGTCTCTGCTTTTTAAGATGCTGTCTAGGTTTCTCATTGCTTTCGTCCCAAGAAGCAGGCAACTTTTAATTTTGTGGCTGCTGTCACCATCTACAGTGATCTTGGAGCCCAAGAAAGTAAAATCTGTCACTGCCTCCATATCTTGAGCTTCAGACCATTTTTTGTTCTCTCCCCTTTCACCCTCATTAAGAGGTTCATTAATTCCTCCTCACTTTCTGCCATTAGAGTGGTATCTGCATGTCGGAGGTTGTGAGAACAAAGTATATAAATATTATGCAGTATTACAGGCTCAATAGTAGCAAATTTGCATGGGTGAGAAGGTTCAAAGAAAGGATCTTTCCCTAAAGTGCTCTCTCATTCTCCCTCCTCTCCATCCCTCCTTCTCTCTCTCTCTCTCTCTCTCACTCTCTCTCTCTCTCTCTCTCCC